CCCCCCCCCCCCCCCCCCCCCCCCCCCCCCCCGGCCCCCCCCCCAAGAGGTAAATAATTCGGTACTACTGAAGAGAGAAGCTCATTAACACTATCATTTCTCATGTCTATGAAATTTAGTGCTTCCTGTCACTCCAAGAGCACTCTCTTCAAAGCATGCCATCTTTCCCAGATGGTAGGCTTCCAAATGCTGGTGCACCTTAACCTATCTGTGTTTATACTGGAAATCTCTAAAAACAATATGGAAGAGTTTTAACTAAGAACAATTACAGTTCACCACAGGTCACAAGGCACATACTATTAGTGTTCAATATTACTATTCATCTAATCTTTTTCAAATCCAGTAAACATAACTAAAGAGAGCAATAAATATTTATGCTTTCAACAGTGAAAGGTCAAATTATTATTTCTGGTTTTTACCTCTCCATAGTAAAGTACACCCACAAAGAAAAAAAAAAAAAAAAATCACCACCAAAAAATAAAAACTAAAAACCTCAGCAGAAACTGAAACTTGTAGAGACATACTCTACAGATTCCTTACACAACAAAAATAGGAAATTAAGTATTTTAACCTTCACAGAAACTACCAGCCACCAACAATTGTACTAACAGGAAGTAAAATCTGTCAAAGCATTGTATATTAATAATTTTCTAAGCCATACATGGTTGTTTATCCTAAGCCAACATTATTGAAAGTTCTAGGAGTCATTATAAACAAAAGAAATTCTAGTTTCATTTTCATGTACTTAGATTCATGAAATTCCATATCTGAAAGAAGATAACAAGATTTACAAAAATCAGCCACAAGTGATGTAAACAAGAAAAAAATGGGTGAGAAAATTCTCTTGGGTGAAAAAAAGAATTGAGTTGGATGCAAAGGATGATCTTTCAGTGGAATATATGTAAGAAAACTCTCTCTTTTTAGTCCATTTCTTATTTCTTAAATAAGAGACTAGTCGTTATATAAAGAATACCTAAGACAGAGATTTTTTTCCATATATAGTCTGTGAGGATGGAGAGGGAAGATCAGACTTCTTAAAACTACACTTAAAAGTCCAGGGTAAGGACTACAAAGCACTACTAACTGATGTGTGGATGCCAGGCTTCTTCACATACATTCATGTCAAACTGTGTCACTTTCCTGTTAAACAGAAGTGGGTGGGAAAAAAAGAAAAAAGTAAAAGAAAAAAAGTGAGATGGAAATGGAATAGAGACGTATACTTTATTGAATTATTTCCACTTTTGTCTTCAGCTTGAAGAAGAAAAGGTACAAAGATGAACAATAACCAGAGGATGTGGGATGTATTGAGTACACTTCTGTATCAGAAAAAGTGTGACCAGCAGGACTACCAAACCAATTGCACACGGCACTGTTAAAATCACACCTGTGTTCCATTTTGGGTTCCTGACTATAAAAAGAATACTGATTTGCTTGAGCATGTGCAGAAAAGAGCAATATAGCTGGTGAAAGGAGTAGAAAACAAGTATTTGGAGGACTGGCTGAGGGAACTGGCGTTGGTTAGTCTGGAGAAGGCTTAGTAGAGACCTGAAACCAGCAGCTTGCAACAAGGAGAACATCAGTGTCTCTTCTCAGGTGACAAGCAACACAAAGAAATGATCTCAAATTGTGCTCGGGGAGGCTTAGACTGGATATTGGGAAGAACTTCAAAGAGAAGGTGGTAAAGTGAACAGGCTGCCCAGGGAGGCGGCAGAGTTGTTGTTCCTGGAACTATTTAAGAGTTGTGCATCCACTAAGATACAAAGTTTAGTGGCAGGACTTGGTAGGTCAGGTAAGTTAATGGTTAGATTTGATGATCTTGAAGGCCTTTTCCAATCTAAGCAATTCTATAATTCTATTAGCTAACAACAAAATTTGTAGAGGATCCAGAAAGCACTTGAAATGTACCTGGAGTACCTTCACTGCTTTGGACAATGCTTTATCTACTTGTAGACACAGAGAAAATTTGAAAATTGTGGGCAAGATACTTGGGAAGCTGTGTGGTGAGCCAGGAAAGCTGTCAAGTTGATGTTGATAACAGAGTGCAGGTTTTATTTTTTGAGAAGAACAAAATGTAGACAGTACAATTTTGTTTCTAGGACAGAGCATAAGAGGATGCGCTGCAACAGTCTTCCATTGGTGACAGCATTTGAGGCATTCTTAAACTTGAAAGGAGTTCCCTAATAAGGAAGATCAGCCTGGTTGGACTAAAAGACTAATCGTCTGTAGAATCTTCTTTCACTGTTTCCACAGAAGATCAAAACAAACAGCTTCTAATACAGGCCATCTTGCTAAAGCCAGTCAGATGGGAAGGAAAAAAGGACATCCTTTGCACACAGCAGCCTTTCATCTCCTGGTATGAGAGAAAAGTATGTGGGGCAGTGTTTTTTGCTATGAGTAACAATGAGTAGGTCTCCTACCTACAAGCTCTGTACAGCAGAAATAACAAGGGAGATGGTGTTTTTCATAGAAGAGGTTTTTTGATTCGATCACGTGCAGGAATCCCCTTAAAACCTCCAACAACCACTGTTTCTAAAAGCATTGTATTTGCTAATGTGCATACTCAAGGGCATTCAGTCCACTGTTCACCGACATTTCAGATGATATTGTATAAAGCAAACGCATATGCTTTCATAAATCTCAATATATTTGAGAGGCAGAAGAAGTACACATAATAATCTGTTTTATTTGCCATGTAATTACACATAGGAAATACTCATTGTTTACATCTGATGTTTAAGATGGAACACAGAGGAACTGCAAAAACAAAACGTTAGGCTAATTGAATATAATAACTTGGATCTGGAGGCAGCTATTGCAAATAGCAGCTAATTGAATAGTTTTCACAAAATCAAAAAGGCTGAAGTTTGTTAAGAAGGGACAGATAGGGAATATATGTATGGTTACATTAAACTGACATAAGATTTGCTGCCTTAAAAAATGCAATTGATATGCTCCAGAAGGTGTTCCAGAAAGTTTCTGAACTACAGCAACTCTACTAAAGTGTCCACATGAAGGATTTTTAATCACTTTTTTTCTGGACTTTTAGACAGATGAGCAAGCTTCTCCGTGTTACTAAAAAAAAGACTGCAAGGAGCACTTTAAGCAAACTACGAAACTACACTCTTAAACTGTTTATTATCACAGAAAGTGTTCCTGAAATTTGTGACAGGCCTTCTTCCTACAGCTGAAGAAAAAAAAATAGACCGAGCATGTGATGCATATTTTGAACTGGCCATTAGTATTCCATTCTTAAACGACAGTGTTAAATTGGAAAGGGATGGAACTTTGTCCTTAAATAGGACACAGAAAGACCATCATAAAGAATTGTAGTTTGTGCAAGACCACAAATCAGGCTCATTGTGACACAGAATTTCAAGACAGAATTGCACTCAAGTGTAATTAAGGACTGTAAGTGCAGTGAAGATTAATAGTTGTGCCCCCTTGCATAAGAACTTTATAGACAGGCTTTTGCAGAAAGAAAACTGCCTAATACCTGAAACAGGCAGCTTGTAGCTCACTTAAATGGATGCACAGTGGATTCAAGAAGACAGTGAGTCAGAACAGGAAAAGATAATATTGCAAAGAAAAATTGCAACAGTTCAAAGCAGGACTGGCAGACATAAATGTTGCACCTTAGAATTCTTTTTCAAGCCTGTAGTACAAAACAAGGAATGTGTCACTCTTGTTCATAGGAACCACTGGTCATAAATCACTTCACTTTCTCCTGTTACACCTCTGCACTTTAGAATTTTAAGATTTTTCTCTTTCAAACAAGACCTAGTTGACATGGATTTCTTCCTCTTTCTTTTTCTTCTTTTATGGATCCATTAGTATATTTCTGGCACATATGATGAATCAGGAACTAGATCTGTCTCAGATAACACATAAAACTTTAACTTTCCACTTGTAGATTGGTTTGAGATCAGATAGCTAGGTAAAATCATATCGTTCACGTCTGCATCAGAAATAAAAATTAATAATACAACATGAACACTTGGTCTGGAATTATTTGCATATTTATGAATAACTGGATGTACTTATAGAAGATTGTACATTTCAACAAGACAAACCAGAACCATGTTTTTTTGAAGTAGATAAGAAAGCATCACTGAAGCAGCTGCAGCTTCCATTCAGAAATGAATGGTACAATGCACTGTTACAGAACACTAATGTCCAATTACAGCCATCTGCTAAGGAACTAAAAGTAACAAGGTCATAGAAGGAGAACATGTACATAAAAATTTATTTCCTGGGTCAGTACACAGTTTTCAGTGTCAGCATGCAAGAGAAATTCCATTTACAGCTAAATGTACCCAGAGTACTGGATTGCAGTTACTGAGGACCTTCAAACTTGCTTTTTGTCCTATAGGATCCATTTTTCAGGCAAACTATGGATTAGAATGGCCTGGCAGACACAAGTAAGACAATGTCTTCTCTATTCAGGCAAGAATCTCAGATGCTGCCTGTTCTGATTTGGAACCACAGATGCATTCAGCAGAGAAAGGGGATAAAAGACGACTCTTTCTGTGAGAAAATGTGTACCCAGTCTCAGTTTCTGAAACTTCAAGGCACTGGGGAAAAAAAAGAAAAAAAAAATAAAAAAAAAAGGAACATGTACATTTATTTGCAACAGATGTGATACTGATCCTGAAAAGGTGATAGAAGTATAATAACAGATCACATTTTCAAGGGGTATTCTTGGCCATAAATTAGGAATATTTAAGGATACATACATAAGGATACATCAGGAAAGGCCTTAGTTTTTTTCCCTGTGCTTAGGCTGAGTGAGCTAGTGGCTTTACCTTCACCAGATACACTTCACAGAACCACTGTGATAGCTAATCCATGAACTACCCAGGAACAACTGGAAATCTCCCTGATGCAGACCAAAATGGCTTCTGGTTGATGTTGCAGATACACAGTGTTGCCTACTGTCAGTATTTTTGAGCTCTGCTAGGCTCCTCCTATTTGCACATATGAACAAAGCTATTCAAACTGGTTAGTTTTCAGCAGAAAAAAATGAGTTGGTTAGAATTCCAACAATTTTAGTCTTATTCTTTGGACATCAGGATGAGCAGCTGCAAACTCATAAATAGAGCACAATCTGATCTATGTGATCAGAAAATGGAGGCCTAACTACTATTATTACATTTACCTCGTAGCAATTAATTCACGTTTTTTCTACATAAATATGGATAAATTTATTTTTTGTTTTGCAGGGAGGAGACAGCAGTAAAGAGCCTGTTCCCAGGTCAGAGGCTACAAATAGAGTTGAAAAAACTATGCAGACTGTACATGAGAAATATACTTCTGCTGCATTGAAGACATATGATTTCCAGCAGGTATCATACTTACTATCTCCATCCACATATCTACCACTATCCAGTATCCTGCCCAATATCCTGTCACCACCTAGACTTGACAGCTCCTGAACACAGAACTCAAAGAACACAAATGCATTCTAGGTCATCTGCATTTAAATAAAAAAAAACCCAAACATTTTATATCTCCAGTGATGAGTTGGATTGGATGTGGAAGTTCACTAAATGACGTGAATGCTGGATTAATTTTCTGTATATTTTTTAGGTAAGGTTGCATAAAAGAGGGTTAAGGTAGCACAATGGCTATTGCTTATGGGATTGTACAATGCACACTAGTGCTGTTCACAAATCACAATACTCCTTTTATTGGATTTTAGATATGATTTTTTAGATACTTAAGGAATCTACTTTGGACTTGATGATTCTTGTGGGTTGCTTCCAACTTGGGCTACTCTATGATTCAACAATCCTATAATGCCATGTGAGCACAGAACAATATGTATTGAACCACTAGATCAGGCTGCCCAGGGCCCAATCTTGAATGTCGTCAGTGATGAAGCATCTACAGCTTCTCTGGGCTACGTGTTCCAGTGCATTACCATCCTTTGAGGAAAACACTTCTTCCTAACATCTAACCTAAATCTCCCCTCTTTTATTTTAATGTCATTTCTCCTTGTCCTATCACTGCCAGAACATGTAAAAGGTCAGTCTCCTTCCTGTTTATAAACTCACCTGAAGTACTGAAAAGGCCACAATAAGGTCTCTCTGAAGTCTTTTTTTCCAAGCTAAACAAGTCCAGCTTCCTTAACATTTCTTAATAAGAGAGATGCTCCAGAAATTTGAACATCTTTGTGGCCGCCCTCCTCTGGACCTGCTCTAACAGCTCCATCATTTGCACACCGGGTGCCCCAGACTTGGGCACAGTATTTCACATGGGGGCTCATGAAGGCAGAGTAGAGGGATACAATCACCTCCCTTGCCCTCTTGGCCACCAGTCTTTTGATGTAGTCCAACACACAGATGACCTTTAAGATTGCAGGCACACACTGCTGGCTCATGTCCAGCTTTAGTTCATTGGGACCTTCAAGTCCGCTTCTGCAGGGCTGCTCTCAGTGAGTTCTTCTCTCACTTTGTACACATATCTGGGATTATCCTAATTTTGTTAGGACACACCACAATTGGAATTGTCAAAACTTATTAGGTTCACATGCTCCCACTTTTTAAACCTGTCCAAGTCCCTCTGGGTGGCATTCCTGCCTTCTCTTGTGTCAACTGTACCACTCACCATGTCATCAGCAAACCTACTGAGGGTAGACTCATTCCCATTCTCCAGGTTGTTGATGTTGAAGAGTACCAGTTCCAAGACTCCATCAGGACACAAAATCATTGACCATAACCCTCTGGCTGCAACCATCCAACCAATTTCCTTATCCTCTGAATTGTCCACCCCTAAAATCCATATCTCTCCAATTTAGAGATATGTATGTGGCATGAGAACATGTCAAAGACCATACAGAAGCTAAGGTAGGTGACATCAGTTGCCCTCCCTTTGTCTACTGATGCTGTCACTCCATCAGAGAAAGCCATTAGATTGATCAGACATGATCTGCCCTTGGTGAAGCTGTGCTGGCTGTCTCAGACCATCTCCTCATCTCACATTGTGCCTTAAAATAGCTTCCAGAAGATTCTGCTCCATGATCTTCATAGGCATAGATCTGAGGCTCACCAGCCTGTAGTTCCCTGGGTCTTCCTTTTTCCCACTCCAGAAAATGGGAGTGATGCTTGCCTCCTTCGACTCACCTGTGACTTCTTCTGCCACTGAGAAGTGTCACTTTATTTGATTTGTAAGAAAAGACTTAGTAAATCTTTTCAAATTGGTCAGAACACCACTCTCTACTGACACTTTGCACCAAAGCATCTACACAATTCTTGATGTCACAAAATGGTCAACAGTATTTCAAGAGCCATATAACTGGTTGAAAGAGATTATTCTTTTACATCATTGTCTCAGAGCTTGTTGGGGACACAGATGGACAAGTCCAAGCAAGTCCTGGGCAAGGGTTGTGAAATCCTTTGAAAGACACAGATGGACAAGGCCAAGGGCAACGAGAGAGAGATAAACCACAGATTAGTGGCCAGGAAGCAGTTTTTTGTGTGGACTTATCTCAAGGAAGATGGCCATCTCAGGAGGTGCTGCACATGACTCTTACCCAAGTGTCCAGGAATGCCACGATGGCAGAAGAAGGATAAAAAGGGGACCTACAGCCATGAGGTTTACTGGCAACAGATTCGTCATGAAGAAGACGAGGTTTCTGACATGAGAAGCCTCATGACCTGCCTCTCTCCCTCCTGGACCTGCTCTGTGCTCCACCATGATGCTAAAGAAGAACAAATGTGTCTGCCATCAGATTCCTCACTACAGAATTCCTGCATGCTGACGGACTCTCCTGGGCCTGCTACCTGAGTCCTGCTGCTTCCTCCCGGATTGGCTCTGCTACCTGCTACCTGCTTGCTGCCCAAAGCCAGCCACGCTGCTGCTCTCCCCCTGCTGCTTCTGCCTCGGACCTTCGAAGCGCCGTGCAGCGGGACTGCTGCTGGATCCTGGTGGTGACTATCCCCGCTATATGTGACTCTTGCTTCTTTCCTATCTTTTCTATCACCCTCCTTCCCTTCCCCGTCACCCTAATTTGTAATAGTCACCGTCCTTCCCTTCCCCATCTCCCTGATTAGGATTTATGATAAACTGGTAGGACCAACATTTGAAGCATTGTTTCTTAATCTCATGCCAGGTATAAATATATTAAAAACAACTTCCTCTCCCTCCTATAAATTGAAGCGAGACACTGGTCAAACTGCTGATTGAGTATAATGAATTAATCACACATTCAAGTAACAAATGCATGTGAGAAACAGTGTCTGTAATAAGTATAAATACAAAACACAGCTACTCTCCCTTACTACACTAGCCATCAACCTCACAAAACCTTGTAGGAAAGGAACCAATCATCAGGAAACACTAATTCCCAAAAAGCATCACAACATTAGTTTGTAAATGTCTGTAACAGTGGTAACCTACACCTGTTCCAGGCAAGTGTAAAGTTTATACCTGGAAATGTTCAGCAAAAACTCATTTAGGCATTCAGGTCTTACTGCCTCATTGCTAATGTACTGTCCCAAAGGAGCACCAATAATGTACATACATGAACACTCGATAGTTGAACTGTGAATATTCCTTCTTCCCTTGATGCACAATTACCTATCTTTGAATTTGTATATGGAAATCTTATTCAGAGTGATTTATATCAACATATCCAGAGTATTTCCTAGCATTTGTCCATGAAGAGGGGTTCATATGCACCATGATAGAGTAAGTGTACTGAGAAGGCCAACGAAAATAATTAGAGAGCTGGCAAAGTTGACATGTAAAAAAAAGCCTTCTGAAAATTAAAAATGCACAATTTCACTGTAGAGGATTAAGAGGAAACACAGTCACTGAGATAGAAATAATATTTTAATATCTATATGACTAATATTCTGAATTATTAAAGAATTGTTTAGAAAAGACAAAATACATAGAGTTATAAAAAAGTAAGTACTGAAAAAATCTGCAGCTAAGCATTGTGAAAAACTACTTGGCAGTGAGATCTGCAAAGCAGTACAAAAGCATCTCATGGGAAGTAGTGGAATCTCCATCATTTGGGATATTTAAAACCAATCTAGACAAATTGTTGGAAATGTTCTATAGGGAATAGTCCTGAATTGGTAAAGAGACAGACTGGATGACCTAACAGGTCTTTTTCCATCTGTAATGTCTATTACTCTGTAATTGTCTCATGTCCTCAATCCACACATTAAGCAATGCTCATATAGCTCCAGCGCCAAATGGTTTAGTTCCAAAGCTCCAACTCCTTCTTTACTCATCATTTAAGACAAACAGAGCAAATCCTACTTAGGAATGAAAATGTTCATAGCAAGATCAACAAGGAAAAATGATTCTGAGGCTCAAGTCATTTCTCTTACACAAGAAGTTCTAGGTCTGCTAATATGCACCACTAGAATACGAACAGCTTCAAAATGGTACACAGCTCACTTCAGTGCTTCTGCTTCTTAGTACAACTTGCATTTTTTAAGTTAGTGTTTAGTAAATCCTGTTGCAAACTAGCTTTCTGTCTTGATTTTATGATTGTTGGTTATCGGTATTCCACATCATAACATCATGTAGTGCACTGGGAGTTTAACTGATAATGCTCAAGTTCCTGGTACCTGTCTGGAAGAGAAGAACTACATTCCCCAGGGAGTTCTGCGGTCAGAGAGGAGCTATGGCAAGGTCACCTGATGTGCTCTTCTTCGTTGGCTCTTCTTTGTTGGCTCTCCTCCTGTCTCCCTGCTGCTCAACTGGACTGCGCATCTCACCTCAGCATTATGGTGAGGCCTATCCACCTTTCAGACATTCTCTTTCTCATTATATTTGATTTATTAGCTGCAATTCTAATTACATTGCATTATAGTGTGTTATCTTGCGTTCCGATACTATATTTAGTAAATTAGTTTGTTTCTCCTCAGATTGTTGCTGCTGTTTTTTAATTACTTTGGGGTCCCGTTTCCCTTTTTCCGGAGGCGTGGATTTTCCAAAATCCCTCCGCCCCACTGGTCATGGAACCGGGCCAAACCAGCCTGTAAATCATTGACACTTTCAAACATTTCTGTCAGGCACACAAAGCTTTGCAGTTTTGAGAAAATGAGAAGAGTTGACAGACCACAGCCACACCTTGATGAACACCTGTGAGATTCTTCAGTTTGACTTTGTTTCACCAAGAGTAGTACTTTAAATGACTGTGTTTGGCTCTGTTATCTCATGATTGTTCTATACTGTTATTAATCAAAAGGAACATACATTAAGAACAACTAAAAGAAAGAAAGTTACTTGATTACTTGTTTTGAGCACATTTTAGTTAAGAAACCTATGGATCTTGAAGTGCTTGATTTCGATTACCGAAGTCTTCACTTTATATTATATAGTATAAATGTATTATGTGAAGTACAAATAATTTATATAATATAGAATATTGAATTAATTACTATGAAATCAAGTTACAATTTTATTGTCTCTTTGTAGAACAAAAAGATTATACATTATATGTATATATAAGATTTTTAACATGTTTACATGATTTTTATATTGTTTTCTACTTTGCTTTCTTTTATATTCACAGAGGGAGAGTTAACCTGGTAGCTTAGGCCAGCTTATCCTTTCTTGGTGTAGTGCCCAATAGTTGCAAATGACGCAAATTAACTTGTTTACATAATATGATTTACCAGTACATTAGTAATCACAATTTTCTATGGCCATGCTTATTCTAGAACAATAATATCCAGGCACAGACTTACAAATTTGCAATAGTTATATATTTAGGATAGAGTATTTCCCATACCTTTTTTTTTAAGACCAAATTGGAAAAAAAAAATCACATTTTTAAAGCAAGGATTTTTCAGTGTAAGTACTGCACATATCAAGTTATTATAAAGTGACAAGACAAATACACAGCAAGTTATCTCTACTATCATGTCTGAAGTAGAGAATGAAAAAAATCAGAAATTTAATGATCTTCTAAAATGAATCTTCCAATTGTTTAAAAGGAAAACAATATAGGTAGAAAAGCTTTCATTGTTATAAAAAAAAAAAAAAAAGCCTACTAAACCAAACTACTATAAACTTATCAAATAATGAATAAAATGAAAACCCAAAATGAACCTACTTGATTTAGCTATTCTTTAGATTTATTAATACTTTCAAATGTCTTTAAATACTATGAAGACACGCTAGCTATAGCCTTAGTAACTTCATTACAATCACACTTTTCACAGGCTAATTAATTTTGCATTGCAGGGTGCAGATATGCCTTTAAAATCCCTTCCCACTTCCTATTTTCAAAGTAAACATCTTCCTCCTATTAGCTAACTGACTATCAGACCTATGCAACACTTTCTGAGCAGATGTATAGTAAATGAATAACTGGACTTCTGTCACAATGCCATTCATGATCAGGCCTTCTGTTCTTCTTCCTTTATCTTCCTTACTTATCTAATACGTTCTTTCTCACCTGACAGAGCTTTAACTCTAAATTTGTAGAATCTAAAGTTATTGAGAACTAGATGATAATTTATGCTGGCTACTGCTATAACACAGACAACACAATTATATTATTCAAAATTAATTTGTAAAATCCTACTAACACAATAGTTTATCATAGAATGGGCTGGGTTGAAAAGGACCACAATGATCATCGAGTTTCAACCCCCCTGGCCCCCCTGCTATGTGCAGGTCACCAACCACCAGACCAGGTTGCCCAGAGCCACATCCAGCCTGGCCTTGAATGCCTCCAGGGATGGGGCTTCCACAATCTCCCTGGGCAACCTGTTCCAGTGTGTCACCACCCTCTGCATGAAAAACTCCTCCTAATATTTAACCTAAACCTCCCCTGTCCCAGTTTAAAACCATTCCTCCTTGTCCTATTGCTATCCATCCTCAACTGTCGTACTCCCTCCTGTTTATATGCTTCCTTTGAGTACTGGAAGGCCTTCTCTTCTTTAAATGATTTCTATTTTCAACTTAATAAACTTCAGACTCTAAAGAGTCCATTGTATTCCTACAGTATTTATTCCATATTGAGTACCCTCACTATAAAACTAAATCTTACCAAATCTCGCAAATTTCACCTAATGTCCATTGATGTATTTAGTCCTCTACTAGATGCAAAGTCTACTACCAGGTATCTCCTTTAGGATTCTGTAAGTTTCAATAAAAGATTTTCTTAAGGTTCTTTAGTTAAATCAGCTTTTATTTTCTCTCAGTCACGGTGGGGTGGAAGGGAGGGAGAAGATATTAATCCAAGTTAGCAAATATTTGGGAGAATCAGGAAATCCAAAGTATATGGAGAAAGAAATAGGAAAAAAATATAAAGAAGAATAAAAAGAATAAGCCACAAATCTGAAAAAAAATCTGCTGCAAAGAAATTTCTGTTACAGCAAATCAATTATCTGTCTTCTTCCAAAATCTTCTTCCAAAATCGCAGAAGCCAAGTGAGCGACTTCATTACTGACCTCAGTAATGAAGATTGTCAAAATCTTCACCTGTTTGAAACAAAAACTCTATTGTGATCATTTACATCATTTATACATAACTAAAATTATTATTTACACATGAATTAAAAAATGTACTATTACACACGGAAAAAAAAAAACAAACCAACAATTAAGCCCACAGCATTAAAAAGGGATCACCTTGTTCAATATATCTACATTTACCGTGAACTAAAATACTCATTTGTTCCTCATCCCTCTACAGTACTTCATCTTTTTTTTTCCCTCCTAATTGTCATAATAAGCGTGCCCATGTAAGTTAATATGTATTGGAAAAAAAAAAAACAAAACAACTTTGTGGAATTAAAATGCTTGAAAAAGTAGCCCCATGGAACTGCTGAGTAAGAGGGCAAGTTTTCTTTTATTAGAAATTTAGACTGAACTAGAGGTTAAAGGTTTTGTAATATACTAACAACGTGGTTTCCTCTAGGATATAGCTTTTGGAAGCTGACCAAAACAAATTTTAACTCCTTGTACAATTCTAACCCTGTTTTCTAAACAAACTTTTTTGCTTCATTCAATTCCCTCTATAAACTCATGACTTCCACAAAGACTGGTAGAAGTGAAATTGTTTTTATTAATTATTCTAAGTCAGTTAGAATGTAATATTTTTATTTTTTTACAGCTCCATCCTTTTCTCCATGTGAACTGAATTTTGTCTGCTGTGAAAAATACAAACACACTTTAATGAACAGTTACTATATGAATGTTTTAAAAACTGAGGCCCAGTACAACACTGAATTCTATGTGCTTACAAGCAATTTAAAACCATATCATACTTGATCAAAACACATTTCACATGCAAATGATAATTATATGAAGTTTTGCTTGAAGACTAAACCACCAAGAAAGTACTGAAGTCTCATGATGACCAGAGTCGTCATACTTCACCAGAGCATGTAACTGGAAAATTATTTTCCAGAAGAAGAAAAATGCTATTAAGAACAAAAAAACAAATAAATAAAAAAAAACACCACAAAAGAAAAGTGACCTAGTTAACTGTAACATAAGTAGAAATGATATATTTCAGAGAGAGGGATAACATTTTCAAAAGTAACGCATTAGCCTAATAAAGTAAGACATTCCAGAAAAGTTTGAGTGAACAGAAGGCTGTGAATTTCCTGTTAAAATTACACATTTACCACATTTTTATATTCCTAGGGACTGTGAATCAAATGCAAGTCTCAGCAATATTTATTTATTTACCTTCACTCAATTAGTATAGTTAAGTGCTTAATTATGAGTTAAAACAATTGTGAGATGGAACCACTCATTTAAAAATACAAGAGAGACTGGATTTCAAATGCAATTTCTCCTTTGGTCTTTGCTATCTAACACCAGTCTACAAGGAATTCTCCTATTATACACTGAAATTCACTGAAATTTACTTACTTCCCAGTAAGCCTGTTACTCACCGCATGATTGATAATGTAAATATCTTGCCTTGCCTTTCAATACACACACACCAAAAAAAAAAAAAAAAAAAAAGCAAAAAGCAGAGGAACAGTTAGTGTCCTTCCTCTACTTTCCCCCGTAGTTCTACAAGGAAACACCATAGGTACACTGGGTGATCTGCCTACTCATTCATTCAGTTTTTTTACCTAGCACTAATGAGCATATAAGAGGCTTTAAATAACAGGGGCTGCAAATCAGCATGGAAGGAAGTCATAATCCGTCATGTACCAACCAAAAGTGGATCCAGTCGGTCTGAGAGCAGATGAAATTGGCAGAAAAAACCTTTAATCAGAGAAACATACATTATCTCAGCTTGGACTTATCTAAGACAGAGGCAGCCTTGAAGGCCTGGAGACACATGTGGTGCGGATAGGGCACTCCAAGCCAAAAGACTGTATGGGCACAACTGAGGGACTGTGACTAAGGGCTGCTCACAGGCAGGAACACCCCAAAAGGACTACAGCCATTAATGATGACAGCAAGATACGGACACTCCTTTGGGAACATGGCTTACTGTAGATCCATACAGGAACCATTAGCACAAAGAAGCAGAAACAAACTAGCACACAGACCACCACAAACCGCTATACTGCCCATCACCACACCAGAGGTGTCTACATGGACTGAGCACAGCTGATGGTGAGGTAAGTGCACTCAGACTGGAACGGGAGTAGGGGCACACCAATGTATTTGTCTATTTGCTTCTCAACTTCTTTTTCTCATCAACTGAAACACTGATCAGAGATTCATGTTGCTTTGCAATCAATTATCTGAAATTTTTTAAAATACAGGCTAGTACACCATCTTACCTTAAATTTAATCCAGTGGCTAATTCTGTGACATTTCAAAGCAACTGAGTTGTCAAAGACATTAAAACTCTTGTGGCGCTCAGAAAATAGGGAAGGCAAGAGAAATGAAGGTGGGAATAATCCCTAACAATTTCCTGGCCAATGACCAAACAAGGAAGCCTTAGATTATTTATTTTTTAAATAACAGGGAGCAGGCCATTCAGCACATGCATGCTTTGTAATGAGCATCTTTTGGGAAAAAAATAAATAAATCAAAGAAAGTGTACTTTGTTACTTTTAATTGATCAAAGTATTGCACTACCCTGCCAATGGAGCATTTACTTGGAAAACAAGAGATACTGGTTATCTTTTCCACCTGAAGGCATATGTTTTTATTCCATGGCACTTTAGCCCCCAGGGCTGAAAATGGAGTACTACTCACTCCTCCTCCAGCTATCATCTTAGGTAGCTAGGAATCCAAGACACCTACCACTATCACAAGATGTCTGCTTTATCCCTGTTCTAAGAATGCTTTATTTCTATGGAAGATTCACTCCTCTGCTCTTTTAGATTTTGCCGTAAAATGACAGAAAGTGATCTCTGATGCTAATTATGGCAGTTTCCTTCATCACTCACTTGCTAATTTTTTTTTTTTTTAATTTTCTATACTACTTCTAATTCTGCCCTTTCTATTAGCAAGATGGCCCCTATAAGGTTGTGCTACATTTTTAAGTTTTACCAGGGAAGAAGTAAGTATTTTACCAATAGAATATTTTAACAAACTAATTAGTAAGAACTTGAAAGCTATTAACTTATTGAAAAAGCTATTAACATATTTTCATTACACTATCTTGCAAATTAAATATTATCTATGAGACTAGAATCAGGTCTCTATGCTGAGAGAAAACCTCTCTGCTAAAAAGATTAATTAAAAAAAAAAAAAAAGAATAATAATAAAAAAAAGAAAAATTAGATAATTTGTGGTCTTTTCACCCTGATAGGCAGCTAAACCCTACAACTGTCCTCTGATTCCCCCTCACGAAAGAGCAGGAGAAAATCAGAGAAAAAGAAGGGCTTAAGCAAGGGTTAAGATAAGGACAAGGAGATCACTCATCAGTTACCAGCGTGGGCAAAACAGACTGGGCATGGAGAGACAGCTTAATATAGTTTATTGAATGTGAAAGCAAACTAGAAACATCTTTCTCCCAGTCCACCCTCTTCTACTTCCTCCACCCAAGCAATGCAAGGGAATGAGTTGCAGACAGTTACAACACTCCTCCATGGTCTCTCTCCAACCCTGCTCCACATGGGCTCCGTCCCACAGATGCTACAATTCCACACTGCTCTGCTCCAACACAGATGCATAATGTGGGGCCCAGCCTCCAGGAGCATGCTGCTCCACACGTTCCCCACGGGCACAGCTCCCCCAGTCCTCCTGCCCCACTGTGGGCTGCTCTCCACGGGCTGCTCAGCCTGAGGCTGCTCCTGCAGGGGTATCCATGGGCTGTAGCTCCTTCAGATCTCACCCACTGCTGCACCATGGGCTCCTCCATGGCCGCACATGGAGATCTGCCCTGCAAGGAGACAGCCTGCTCCACTATGGGCCTCTCCTGGAGCACCTCCTGACCTTCTGCACTGACCTTGGTGCCGACAGGGTTGCTTCTATTACATTTCTCACTCCTCTCTCAGCTGCTGTTGCACAGTAATGTTTTCCCCTCTTACATCTGCTCACCCAGAGCACACCCACTGTCACTCATGGCTCCGCTCTGGCCTCTGCTGACATGGGGCAGCTGCTGGGCTCTGCTCACAGAGACCACTGCCTATGGCCACCTGCTACCAAAACCTTAACCTTGCCATGTAAACCTTCTACATAACTTTACAAATTTCTGGATCTCTCCATTATGCACAGTTTGACTTGGCGTACAGACTTTGTTCAATTCAGAAAACTAATATTTCAGTTTATTGAATGAAAAACCCTAAATTTTTGTCTGGCATGTTCTTCAATGCTTGTCCCAGACTGTATTCTTAAGTGTTGACAGTAAGAGAGAATTAGACATATGGATATCAAGAAAAATCTTGCATTCACTTCAAAACATAAAGTATGTATTATTATTATTAAAAATGTGGAAATATTTTAAATAAAAAGTAAACCTCTTTCCTGTTTAACATAAGGATTTTAAATAAAGCATATGGGATAAACTATCTCAATATTTTATTTTCTCAAATCCTGCACAGATCCTCCCAGTTTTGGCCATGGTGTGAATTTCTGCATATTATAATTTGCAGATATTCAGTAGAAATTTCATTCCAAAAAAATAAGTCTCTTAAAAATCTATCCCTGCCAAGCATTCTACAACTTTGAGATGAAGGAGCTAATCCAGCCTTTTGTAGTTGCTTCTGTTCCAGGCTGTTACAATGCCAAAGACAAGAATAGACAGCAAGGGAACATCTCCTTCTGTGCATTCTGTTCCTTCACTAATTGAGCACTGAGAGTTCACAGATGACAAAAGCGTAACAGAGGAAAAAAAGACCAAAGACAATTAGGTAGATTAGACAGACAACTGCTACTGGAGCAATGATGCAAAAGGTCAAAGAAAAAAAAAAAAAAAAGCAGATGAGAGAGAAACTGAGATGAAACAATTTTAGACACATATTTACTCATTAAGGACAATGAGCAAAGTCAGGACAGAAAGTAAGGCAATGATATCAAGAAAATGCCAGGAAAACCTGCGTTAAAGAAGAAGGATGCAGACGGACATGGTCAGCTGAGAGGAACTGAAGACCAATTCTGTACCTACACAATCTGAGTTGACAATCTCAGCAGTTTTCAGTGGTCATCATAAGCATATGCTTTAACAGTATCTAGAAGCTGTTTCAAATGCAGATGACTGTCATTAGTTCTCTCTCAAATTAAGTAGCAGGTCTGCATTATCAAATGAACTGCGTGAAAATCAACATAATTCCACATTATGAAAACTGTTTTGTATGTGTGGGTTTTTTTTAGTTGGTTTCACTTAAAAACTTAGCAGTTCATATTGCTATAGCTACAATTTTTCCAAGGGATCATTTTCTAACTAGATATTATTTCTCAAGTTACTTTTATCCCTCCCTTCTTACTGTAAATCACTGCTGGAGAAGCATTGGTATTACATCTAAAACTGGCAAGGAGTTGAGCTAGCACAATAACAAGGAAATATTTTAAAAATCTTTTTGGTGCTTTGCAGGAAATACCACCATCACTGCCCCAGGCCAATAAATAAACCTGTTGTTGGATGAAAATTACTGAATTTATCCTTACATAAAAATACAATTTTAAAGAACTAACCTGAGTTACCAAGATCCTCCGATTGGACAGAATTGGATGAAAAAAAATCATCTACTTAATTCCCTTACCAAATAAAAAGTCATTTAAGAAAAATACCCTTCAGAGCAAGGCAATTTTTAAAATCAATACAGTAAAAGCAATCTTTGTATTTATCGTGTTTTTCCAGACTGGATAATCAGAAGGGTAAGAGATCAGAAAAAAGAGATTCATCTTGGTAAGCGTGGCTCCATTTTTGTTTAATCTAATTTTTTAAGGCATTTCTCACTGGAAGAATTATAAAACAGCATGCCTTCACTAGTTGCATACAACACTAAAGTAAAGTTTGCAAAGTTTAAAGTTGATCTTTGTATAATCATTAAATATAACACAGACACACCGCAGTACTTCTGCTCTCATGAAAATCAATACAAAGGAGGACATCCATGTTTTGAGAAGCAAGTTAGCATGCATAATTCTCCAAAGATCTGAAGAACAATGGACACCATGAATTTAAAGTGCAAATCTTAAAACGTTAGGATACTACTAAAATAAGGTAACTCCTCAAAAGAAAAATAAGGCAAATAAGAACAAGAAAGAGCCTATCTTCCTTACCTATGGCCATATTTCTGAAGAAGAATCTTTAGTCTCTTATCAGAGAAATGGTGACTGCAGAGCAAAGAAAATTTGTTGCACTAAGAACCATTTTAAACAGTAACTTTTCAGATTAAAACTGCATTTTACAGAGATGCAAAGAGCTGCAAAGCTGAAAAGAAGGATTATAAAAAAGAAAGGGTACTCTTCAGTTTAAGAAATATTTCTATTGCTCTCCAAGGAGATTTATTTCATCCACTATATAGCATGTGTCAGGAGTTATGTTGATCCTTCACTGGGAGCTAAGTACCCAATAGTTTTTACATTACCATGCACCACAATAGCAATCCTTGACATTGGTTATAAGTGTCAGACAGAGCCTTCATTAATTGTCATCATTTCTAAGACATAAAAGAACCCTCTCTTCTTGAATGTTATTACACAAAAAGTGTACGTTATCTATATACAGCAAGTGCAAAAATGCTTTGTACTGTAATAATAATAATTTAGAATATATGGGATAAAAAGTGTACTATTGTTAAACTGTCAGTCAAAACCCTTGTTATACAAGGATGGAACATCACATCCATCTATAACAGCCTTTTCTGTCAGTCAAATGTGTTGTTCTATACAAATCTATCATCCATTTGATTTTTAAATTGGCATAGGCTGTAAAACATTATTCTGATGTGATACCAGTGTGATCTAAGTTGCTGCTGATATCAGAATACAACAGACATTCTCTCTTAAATCCAGTTCTCCTCCTGTTTTTAGGTATCTGCATTATTCAGTTGATTTTGCATATACATTCATTTGAATAATCACAATTTTTTTTCTTCTGTTACAGGGCAAAGAACATCCTTGCTGACAATCTGTTCTAATTTTGAAATTAACCATAACTTCGAAAATTCTATATCAGCTTGATGAAGTCATTATTAATATTTACCCTAGGAAAAACGGCATTCATGTTTATCCATCACAAATCCTCATCCAGAACCATACTAGTCCCTTAATCCTAGTTATGAGCAACAGTGATTTATGAAAAATGAGTTAAACAGCACTGAATTCCTGTAACATTTTTTTCTGTGACATTAGCTGCGGGAAGAACTGAATGGGACAAACTATTCACTTATAAAAGAACACAAGTTGGATTCCACTGTCCCACTGCAAAACCAAACACAAATGAAAAGGGCAAAAATAATTTGAATCGCATTATAAAAGAACAGTAAAGAGTAAATCAAGGCAGGTTCATATCCTTTTTAGCTTATTCCCATGCATAGCTTGATGTCTGAAATGTTTGTATTAATAAGCTAATTTTTGTTTCTGGGATAAGCACAGGTAGAGAAAGCACATCAAATCAATTTCTCCAATGACCACTAACAAATGAAACCATCTATTTTGTTCCATGTTTGAACTGTGAAAGTAAAGGCAATAAAATGTACAGCTTACCAAAAGCATTTCATGCTTTCATGTCTTTCTTTATTGTTATTATTTTTTTATTCGGTTCATACAGGAATCATTAGTCTAGAGTGATTTATTATTATCCTCACAATTATTTGAGCATATGCACTGCAGCACGCTTTTCCCCAGTTCTAATTGGTGCCTTTTAATATATTTGGTATATACAACAACTTTGTGGAACACTATCTAATGACTAACAATGTTTTAAAATCCTCAAGAGCTCTAGGGGCAAGTTCAAACAAATTGCTACTGAAATGATATCACCAATCTCTTCTCCACTTGTTCAGATGAACTGCTACTGAGATGTATCACAGATCTGTTTTCCACTTGCACTGTTCCAGTAACACCTACAGTGAAAAGTCAAGGGTTCCCATGCCTATATCATCTGTCCTCAGATCACTGAAGCTTAAAACTGTTAACAGAGGCAAAGAACTATAAAACAGACAGGCTAAAATGCAGACTTATCCTTTAATTTGACAATTTAGCCACCTTTTTACAGAATTGGTGTAAAAAGAAACAACCTTAGTGAATCAGTTGAAAGTTATAAATAGAACTACAGTGGATTTCAAAAACAAATCACAACTCAGAAGAACTCCAGTATCTTGCTTTTAAAATTCAAGTTTGTTTAACCTCTCACTAAATCACCTAATATTTCTGATTCAGGTAGAACTACGAATATAGAATACAAGAAGAATTTTAAGGCAACCAAGAGCTCAAGTATAATATTAAACAAATGTAATTACTGGAATTAGTATTTATTGCATTATTTGTTTAATAGTATGTCAACTGAGGCTAAAGTATTAAGCAGCTTGCATTAAAAACTTCAATGTCAGTTCTCTGTATAATCTTTCCATTCTGAAAATACTGTAATGTATTCAGTACAGCACACACTGTCCATATTCTGTTAATTTGCTAGATGACATATCACATGGCTATCCACGTTATGCTACCTACTGCTTTTAAATTTAAGATAGGGATAAAATAGGCACAATTAATCTCAGTTACCAATTTTAATATTTGAATTGGTATTTGAAAGCTGGTATACAGTGCAGAAGTCTACAGAATCACAGAATGGCTGAGGTTGGAAAGGACCTCTGGAGGTCATCTTGCCCAACTGCCTTCTTAGTGTGGAGTAAAGTAGAGCAGGTTGCTCAGGACTGCGTACAATCAAGCCCATAAAATCTCCAGAAATGGAGACTCAACAACCTGTCTGGACAACCTGCTCTAGCATTCAATCATCTTTAAATTATGGGGAATATAGTAAACTACTCACTTCAAGTCAGTCATTATTCTAGCAAAAATAATAAAAGTCACATTACTCTTGACAAAGGAAAAAATAGCTAAATCATTTTGAAAATGTTCATTATTCTCCTTAGATAGCAGGTCTATGAATAGTAGCAAAAATGGATTTACTTCCCCCCCCCCCCCCCAATAGAAGCTTCTTTCATGAGAGGTCTAGTGCTTGACACTGAAAAAATACACAGAATGCAATCCCTATGTCAAGTTCACAGTATGCCATCAAGGAAGGACAAAGAGCCTCAAGTATACAGAAACACCTACAATCTTTGTAATTAGAAGGTATGCCATTTGCAAGAGTTATAAAGTAGACCCGTTCCTTCTTTCTCCAAAAATTGAAATAAGTTAAGTTCAGCTTTCATTTTCCATTTTCTTTAACAACATTCTACATATATTTAACATAACATGTAACATATTTCTTCTTTAAAAGAGTAATGGAGAAATAACCCCAGATTACTAAGTGCAAATATTGTTTTATTTTTTAAATTCACATAATAAAGAAAATTTTGATAAACTGTGCCATATATTATATACATTAGAGTCAAAAGTCAGGTAGCGTATTTAAAAAACCACTAATCATTCACATGATTTTTCTGGGCATGTCAAGTTACAGAAAAGACATCAGCACCACAGTCAAAACAAGAATTTGGAGCTTCCTAATAAAGAATATGAACTCTGTAAAGGCAAAATAAAATAACTACATCAATTAGAATGAATGCGAGATCTTTCTGTTACCTCATAAATAGCAGAAGTGAATCACAAAATTGAATTATAGAGTATTTTCATCTGACACAAGAAAAACAGAAAACAAATTTAAGATATGGAGCTTACCACAATCTTTTCCTCTGAAAATTAATTATTAAGATTAATTCTTTCCACAGCTTAGACATACAAAGGAGACTACATCATGGTTAATTTTCACACTTATGTATATAGTCATGGAAGACAGCACACAAACTTTAATAGTAACTGTCAAATTCTAATAATTATTTTGATTGATAAAAATGTCAAATGATTTTCCAACCATACCACTTCTTCCACCAACCTCCTTCCCCTCCCCTCCCCCCCCCAATAAAAAACAAAAAAACAACACAACAAAGATTTTTCAATACAATTATAGCGATTCATGAATCATAAAACTATAAAACAGAATTAGTTCTGTCATCAGATCTACATTCCTATTAGGACTTTTGCAATCTATTGGTTTGATACTTCGGCTTCTTCCACATCCCAAGTTGCCATTATCATGCCAGTACAATGGAGTTTGATGGACAAATCTTACACACTCAAAGCATACAACAGATATTAATTTATGTCTGCAACTCTATGAATCAAGCAGGTATTTTACATATGGGAAAATCAAAGAAAGGTGAAGTGCTTTGTCTAACGGCACTTGGAAGAAATGAGTAACAGTGCTCTAATTAAAATTCAACATCAAAAATCATATTAATCCTCAAGACCTAGCTGCATTTTTCAAAGTGCATGATTTGGAACATCAAAAAAAAAGAATCAGATCAGTCTTTTTCCTCAGTACTCACATTAATGATAAAACATTGCATTCATCTTCTTCCCCTGTATTAGCATGAACAGCCATTTTTCTCAGATATAAAATTCACAAAACCATTTGGATTTAAAAGAAATATTTATAAACAAGTCCAGGTCACAATTAAAATTTAAATTCTGCATTTGATTTGGCCTATATCTCTACGTACTGAGAGTCTCAGAAAAAAAATCACATACGTGCCAAGTATGTTAGTATACCAACTTATACCACACTGATTTAATTAGTTTGCTTTCAATGCAAAGGTGCAGCACCTCAGCAATTACGAGATCGTTAATACAACAGAGCATAACAGCACCTTTAGAGGTCTTGTCTAACCTCTAGGCACACATATAACTCCCATTAAGGCTAATGGGAGTCACATGTGTGCAACCAAGGGAGAAGAGGCCCATTAAAACTGATACAACACATCCATTAATCTTCAGGTCACTCTTAAGGTCAAACATTATAAAAATGTTTATGAACAGTACTTACTAGGTATGCACAGCGGCTACTTTGGTTTTAGGACAGACCTGTGAGCAGTTAAGGCCATGGATAATGTCTGCTTTAAAAGCATCACCATGTTTCAAGCAGTAGCATGGAAATTTGAAAATGCTTTTCTATAGTGAGAGAACATTTTGCTATGATCTCTTGAATTAGAAGGATAGGAGTGACAGAAAAGGTTAGACGCGATGAAAACCTAGGACAAAGGTATGCCCTAACTTTTCATTTTACTTCCAGCTCCCTCTCTTTCGTCATACTTCAGTCTTTTACTTGTGGTTTTCTGCTTCAGGAAGAACATCACACTGACTAAATTCCTAATCTGTGAAGTATGCCACAAAGACACTACAGGTAAGATTTTGATTATTGAATCACTTGCAAACCACAACAATTCAAGCACTCGTTCCAGGGTGGACTGAGTTTTTAAAGTTTTTCAGAGAAAGGTGATCTTAGTTTGCTATCCATTTCATTCTCTCTATGTGAAACCCCTCTTATTCAACACTGTAATATAGTTTAGGCAAGCACGACCATTCCCAGATTTGAAAAAGCTAAAGGTACCAATTTCCAGCCATTTCATTTGCAAAAGCAGTCCAATCAGAAATGAGTTTGCTATCTTCATCCGCTGAATCCTGGAGGAGAAAGATTTCTCAGAAGCATGAGGTCAAATGATGTCTCCACATGAACAGAGCAGAAGGAATGGCAGATGGGAATGCAATTGTTAGATGGACACGGAAATGAAGACAAGCTTCAAATATGTTTAGCATTCAAGAATTTGCGCGAGGAAAACTAGCTTCGTTGAGTTTACTATAGCGACAAAATATTCTGAAACTTGTCTTTCACAACTACATTCAATACTCTTACATTGCAAGTGAAATTTATTCATTACTCTCTGATTACACTTGTCACAGAATCTTTGTTTCAAGCACTGACAACTAGTTTATCTCAGCACTCAAGCTTGCACTCTAAGACCTTACATAGCAAACAGAGATGGTCAGTGGAACAATTTCTCACCTAGAAAGTGAAGCTCCAAGGGAAAGCAAATAAATACAAAGCCACAAAAGAATGCTGTACAATGCTTCAGTCTTGAGCTGCAGGTCATCTATTGTTTTACTGTGATTTGCCCATTGAAAGTAGGGTCTCACTGCACAGAACTTTTATACACCACTACAGCTCTTTGTGCTCTGAAACAAGTGTTCTATGTTTCTAATTCAAATTTGCTTTCTAAACCAAAATCATAGAATCTTTTGAGTTGGAAAAGACTCTTTTAGTCCCACTCCCTGCAATGAACAGGGACATCCATAGCTAGATCAGGATGCTCAGCGCCTGGTCCAGCTTCACCTGGATGTCTCTAGGTGCAGAGTTGTCTCATCAACCACCTCTTTGGACAAGCTGTTCCAAGGCCTAACCACAATTACTGTAAAAAATGTCTTATGTTCAATCTAAATCTCCCCTCTTTTAGCTTGAATTCATTTCCTCATATCCTATCACCACAGACCCTGATAGTCTGTCCCCTTCCTCCTCATTCCCCCCCTTTAGATACTGAAAGTTTGCTATCTGGTTTCCCAAGAGACCAAGCTATCTAATGGACTTCTCCTCAGCCAAGTGCGCATCATGTTCAAATCTTTTATATCAAAACAAAATCAGAAACTGCAAGTGAGCTATTTCCATACCTTTTATAAACTTTGCAGGCTAATCACTGAGAAGCCAAGAGACCACAATCTACTTTTAACACTCGCAAGTATTACTCAGCAGTTCCTATTCTTTTCACCTTTCCCCCAACACCTCTGTGGTGCTACTACCTGTATCTCCCCAGCTGCCCTTTCCAGACAGATCAAACACACTGTGGCCAGTAAGAGAGGACCTTTACATGTCACTGTTATCAGCATCCCATCTGCCAACCCAGCACCACACAGCACTGGAGAAAGGCACTACTGCTTGTAGTGCTTACGGGCTGTTACCACATTTTCACTATAGGCTGCTGCATTCCTCTCCTCTCACAAGCCTGTAATCTGCCAGTAAGCGCTACATACACCCCTCAGCTTGCAGGGCCACAGCCCAGGTTGCAAGCCCCAGGCGGCCCCGCTCCGAGGGCACCAAATAGAGGACCCAGAGCAAGCTAAGGCCGGAGCCGGTGCTCTCCGAGCACAGTATTTCCTTGTCCGCTGAACTGTCCCCGAGGCCCAGCGGGAGAGCTCACAGCCACGTACTCGACTCCTGAAACAGCCATTTCCTTATAACAGCAGAAACGCCACTTAAACACTCTACGGGCTCGGCACACGCAACGCCCCGCCTCCCGCCCTCTTCCATTGGCTCCTCAGCTTCACCCTTTGTCGCTTAATTTGCTCCCTGGCCTGTCAGTCAATTACCCCCGCGCCGCGATTGCTACCCTGGTAGCCGTTCTAACGCGTCATCTCTATGCCCGAAGGTACTTCCTGTGCGACCGCTCTAGGCGCTTACCTGTGGCATCCATCGCCTATGTCGCCGCCTCTCTAGGCTGTGGGTGCCGGCTCTGTGACCCAGGCGGGGCGGGCTAGCAGGACGGGGTCCGTGGAGGCAGCCGAATGGCGGTCCCCGCGGGGCCTCCGTCCGCGCGAGGTGCGAGGTAGAGCCGCGTAGGCCGTGCGGCCCGGGCCCCGCGGCACAGGTCAGTCGGGGCGCGGGACGAGGTGAGCGGGGCCGTGGCGGCGCAGGTCCCGCTGACCGCCTGGCTCTTGGGCCGTGCAAGCTCAGGGCCGCGGGCCTGCTGGGGTCAGCCCCAGGCCCTTCTTGTAAACGCTTTGTTTCTCGTTGTGGCCTTGCCGGGTTTTGCAGTTCCGTGAGTCCCACTGGTGTTTTTTCCCTGCTGCCCACTATCTGCCCGAGGAGGCTGTGAGTCTTCCAGCTAGGACGAAATGTAAGGTAAGAGAAGAGGGAGCCTTAAAACACGTTCCGTAGAGAGGACAGCACGTTGAATTTTGGCAGAGATGGTTTTTCATCTGAATTGTTAATTGTTGACGTCAGTTGAAATTGCAAAACATTTATAGGAAACTTCCCTGTAGCTATGATACGACTCAGTTCAAGGCTGTTCTTTGCTGGGGGTGATAGTAAATCTTTTCCACTTTATTTTAACCCAGTCTCGTGCAGCCTATTAGTGTTTAGTTGCCAACCAATGGCTTCTCCCAAAACTAAAGCAGGTTTAGTCTGAATGGCCAAGTTATTTTGGCAGGAAGATGAATTCCAGTTCATGATACAGTTACTGCTGTGAACCAGAGGGCTGTGTATTTCCTTCAGTCTAGATTTCTTGTATCGTCATCTGAGTGCTGGCAGGAGGGAGCAGTTCACCAAGGTCAAAGGTTGGAGTATGGCCACTAATGTTGTAAAAGCTGATTCCAGTAAAATAAAATAAAACAAATACATAAATATTTTGAAAGTTAGTGAATTCTTGTCTAACTTTTTGGAGCCATTATTAATGTGCAGTTGAGCAGCAGTTCCCAATAAACTGTTAATTCTAAGACTATTACTGTTTTCATTTCTTTTCAGAGGTATTCTATCACTGCTTTCTTCTACAAATGTTTTTTCTCTGTATGTCTCGGTTTCATCTGAACAATTTTTCATCTTCTGCAGGGTGTTATCACTAGTTTAATGAATGGATTAGCAGGAAAACAGCTGAGAAAGGCATCATTGCTGGGATATGAGTTAGAATAGAAAGAAACTATTGAAGGGAGTAACAGTTCACACCTCTGAATTCTCCTGTTTAAATCTGTTCATGAGCCATGAAGTCATCAATTTCAGTTATTTGATCTGGAGTGGAGTGGATAACTTCACACCTATGGGATCTATAAATGAAATCTCTAGAAGACTTCTTCCATATTTTTTTGTAAAAGTGGAATAGACCACTAAGGCACATAATGTCAAGTGTATTGGAGGGATTTGACACTTAAACTTTAGTGTCATGGAAATAGATGACTGTCATTATTAGAACACCTGCTTTGACAGCTAATGCTCTTATAGGAATACTATTTTGAATTAATAAGCCATATTATCTGCATATCCTGTTTTTGGAGAGAGTATTTCACCACTTAGATCTATACTGATGTTTGTGTATGATGCTGTGCATGGCATATTTTGCCACAAATAGGCTAGTTCAGAATAAATCCAATTTCTGAAAAGAAGTTATCCTTCCGATATGTTACCAACATACATGTTATAGTAATGCATTGAAAATAATACTTTAATTGCTGAAAGTTGTTAGAAGATCATCTATCTGTGCAAATCTATTACTAAGAAAGCGTCATTGTCATTATTTCTATTTCTCATAGTGTTTTAATAGTTTGTGCATTTACACTTTAATTACTCTTTAAGCAGCTGAAGTAAGTTTTGGCCTAGAGTTTTCCCTCTACTTCTAAATCCCTTTAGCTTCTTCTTGCCTTGGACCAAATTTATGCTTTTAATTATTGAGGTCATCCTTTCTAGAACTAAGATGAAGGAAATTAATTCCCTTTAAAACTTCAGTGTAAGTTGGCGTAACTGGGTAAACAGTTTGAAATTAGACATCTCATTGAATGGCTGAATTTCTTTCACTTGTGCTAAAGGTGTTTCAGAACTGCAGTAACACTGGTGAAATTAGACATTTCTAAATGAACTCATATTCTAGTCTCAAATCTGTCATTAGAAACACTTAGAATGACACAGGCACATAAAATATCATCCTTTGAACTTACTTAAGAGAAGTTTCATCGCTCAGATAATGGACCTTCAAATGCTATGTAAATGCTTTCACCGATTAAAAGACTGTCAGGTAATGTGAATGATATACCCCATTTAATGTTAGGGGATTAATGAGGATTAAAGTAGCTATACCAAACAAGAATGTAAGGATTCAAACCCTTATTAATGAAGTAAAACTGATTCAATTTCATTGTGTAAGGAGAACAATTTATTTACATATGATTATTTATAAATGCAAATAATCTTTAATGTCTATGTTGGCTGGTAAACTGAAATATAAGTTAGGTTCATTATTAGATTAATATGTGTAGATAAAATGATCTGATTTGCTGGATTCACTTTCAGCTATTGAGCATTCTGAAAATTCTAAATGGAGCAAAATCAACTACTCTGGTAAAATAACTTTGATTTTTAGTGTCTAACTTTTGTTTTCATTCCAAACTGAATGTCTTTCGAGCAAGGAGAGTGTTGTTTGTGAAGCAATTTTTTGTTGTTGTTTGCTTGAGAGCTGTGTGCCTTTGTCTCCTTTTGGACAAATATATTTTTTTTCCCTCTGAGACTGTGGATGTCACTTCTTTTGTTATTGAAGGAAGTGACTCACAGAAAAGCTTTGATACTTACTGTGATTCAGGACGTGTAGGAAGCAAATGTTCCTTTGATAGACTAAATAAAATTCAATTAAAACTTGCAAGCAAGTTTTAATATATTGACAATATATAAAGACTTCCTTAGACACTGTGTAGAATGGAATGGAGAAGGTAATTTGTATACTCCTGAAGATTTTTGACATTGTTAGTAATCTGCAGACCTGCATTTGTGGTTTTGACATCAAATGTTGTGGTGCAAGTCAAGAAAGGCATTTGATCTTCAGTGTTTTATCTCTTGTAGTCTTTTATAGTGACAATTCTAAAAACTGCTGTAGATTCCAGCAACTCATAGAACAATTGGGAAGGAAAGAATGAAGCAAGTTTGACTACAGAGTATCAATATCTTATGTCTATTTAGCAATCAACATAAATTATGTATATATTGTAAAATCAATAAAGGTGTAGATAACTGAGTGACAAGGAATGATCTCTGAATTCACTATTAGCATGTATCCTGTTGTAGTAATCTAACACATGGTATTTCAGAAGTGAAGTTGGTGGGAGAAGATGAAGAGGTGCCTAAAGGAAAACTAGTCGCTAAACTATGGACAAATCATTCAGCAGTGTCAGACCATGATGTAAATACCTTATTACCAATGTTTTGGTTTTTTTTGTCTGTGTTGGTTTTAATGGCCTGCATTTTTCTGGTGTTGCTTTTTTTTTTTTTTTAAATTCCATAGCCCTGCATTTGCAGTTTCTATGATTATTTACTGAGATCAGAAATAAAGATCTTAAATCTGTCAAACACTGGTAAACTTAAGGCGTAAATGCAGCTTCATTAAATTAGCTTGTAAACATGATTTCTTCTAATATCAATAAAGAAACAGACAAACATGAATAATAACAGAAAGAAATGTTCTTCAAATATTATGAACTTGTTCTGTATTAACTCTGTAATTGAAGAATAAGATGTATTCTGTTACATTATCTTTAACATGTGATTTCTAAAAGTTGTTTGATATTTAGTGATTTTTGGAGAAATGTTTTCTTTAGTCTTTGTGTCTTTGATTGAGATTCTGTGGATAATACATTTCTAGTGAGGAAGTTCACCATGTTTGCTTGTCCCAGTTTAGCTTGTATCACTTTTGAGTTATCTGCTCCTTGGGAGAGAGCAATGCAATCTTGTTCTTATTCAGTTACTGATACTAGTGCCTGCTTTCTCTGAGAGCATGGTTTAAGACTTGTTTAAGTATTATTAAGTATTTAGTAAGCAAGCTTACAACACTGAACTTTGGGAGATCAAACTTTAGACTGTTCAGGGTTCTGCTTGTATGAGCCCCATGCAATAAGGCCCTGCAGGAAAGCTGAGTGTTGTTCAAGGACCATGTCCTTAAAGCGTAACAGAGGTCCATTGCAATGAGTAGAATGTCAGGCAAAAAAGCCTACAGTCCTACATGGGTGAACGAAGAGCTCCTGGCAAAACACAAACAAAATAAGGCGGTATACAGACAGTGGAAAGGCTGCTTAGGGTTGAATTTTGTAAAGCCAGAAGTCACAGGCTTCTATATTGGTGGCAAAAAACAGGAAAATTTTGAGCCTTCTTCTGAATGAGGTAGAAACCCTGGTGACATATGACATGGAAAAGGTTGAGGTATAGGGAGGTGTGTGTCCTTGGCAGAAGAGCGAGGATCAAGTCAGAGAAGAGCGAACTAAGATACCCCTCAGTGCTGAGAGACCTGGCTAATGTCACTGTGAGGCTACTCCCAGTTATCTGAAGGATCATGATAACTGGGGAAGTACTTGAGGAAAGGAATAAGGCTTCTGTCGCTCTTGTTTTCAAGAAGGAGCCAGGTAACTGCAGACTCACCAGACTCACCTTGATACCTAGGAGTATGATGGAACACAAATCCTGGAAACTATTTTCAGACATGTTAAAGTCAATAAGGTGATCAGGAGTAGTCAGCATAGATTCTCTAAGGGGAACAGAGTTATGCATGACAAACCTGATAACTTCCTATGATAAGTTTCTAAGAGAAAGACAGAAGAAGAACACCAGTTACAGTCTGTCTGGACTTCAGTATGATTTCTGATGCTGTCTCCCACAATGCCATCATTGAAAATCTCTTTATATGTGGGCTTGTTGAGCAGACAGGGAGGTGGACTGAAAACAGGCAGAACATCCAGGCTAAGAGGATGTTGAACAGTGGTGCAAAGTCTGGTAAGCAGTTAGAAGGTAACTAGGAGCATACCCTTGGGTTTAATACTATGTTTTCTCCTATTTAACATTTTCATTAACAATTTAGACGATTAGACAGCGGACCTTCTGTAATTTTGCATATGATACCAAAGTGGGAGGTATGGTGGATATACCAGATGGCTGAGCTGCCATTCAGAGTGATGTTGACAGGCTAGAAAAATGACCCAAAAGGAACCTCATCAGTTCAACAAAGTGCAGTCCTGATTTTTGAGGGGAGATAATTTTGTGCATGAGTGTATGATGAGGCCAACCTTCTGTAAAGCAGCTTTGCAGAAAAAGACCTGGAGATCTTGTTGAACACAAGGCAACAATATGGTCTTGCCATGAAGGTATCATAAAGGTATCCTAGGTTAAATTAAGAGGAGTGTTAGCAATTGAGGGAAGTGGTCAAGGTTGAGCATCTTTTCAGTCTCCTCAACACTGGTAAGGCCAGATCTGAGTGTTCTGTCTCCTTGGCTCCTCAGTAGAAGAAAGATGGGGGAGCTCCTACTGAGGGTTCAGTGGAGGGAATTCAGTTAAGGGACTGGATCATTTCACATACAAGGAAAGGTTGAGAGAGCTAGGACTTGTAAACCTGGAGGGGAAAAGGTTTAGGATGAAACTCATGGATGCGTATGTATACCTGCGGTGCAGATGCAAAGAGAGCAGAGCCAGGCTCTTCTCAGTGGTGCCCCTGGACAGGACAAGAAGCAGTGGGCACAAGCTGCAGCAGGGAAATTTCTCTCTGAACTTGAGGGGAGGCACTTGAGTACTGTGTGGTTGATGGAGCACTGGTGCAGATTGCCCAGAATTGCTGTGGAATTGTCTTCTTTGGAGATATTCAAAAGCTGAATGAAAAAGGTCCTCGGCATCTTGCTCTAGATGTCCCTGTTGTGTTGGACATTGTAAGTTTGAAATAAACACACTGATCCCTTTCTACTTTCCCCTATTATCACATGTATTTTCTTTAAATAAATTTAAAAAAAAAAAAAAAGCAATTCAGAGTTTTTGTGTTGTTAACTTGCGGTATTTGTCAAGTTTTTTGTCAAGCCACTTGTGGAATTTTGCAGAATTAATTTAAGAAATTCAGAGGGGGAAGTCACTTTTTAATTACTTCAAAATAACAGATAAAAAACCTCCTTTCCCATGAACCTCGAAAGAGGCACATTTTTCCTTAGATCACTCAACTCCATCCTGTAGGTGCGAAGTGTATGTTGTTCCTACACATTGTATGCTTAGTTCTTTACAAAAGCACTTATATATGTTTGTAATTAGCTGATGTTGGTTTAGCCAATTAAAATCAGTCTTTCTCTAGAAAATTTTAATGTGTATTTCCCCCTAACAGTGATTGTTTTCTAAATGTGAACTTTCCAGGCACAGGATCTGAGTTCACAAATTCTTTTAGAACATAGCAAGAGTGGCTTCACATCTGTTGTGTTTATATCTCAGTCTGCCTGGGAAAAACCTGTCTAAAAATGTGCTCTCTCTGCCACTGCTTATCTCGACAGTCTCAGTGTCTGCTAATATTGGCTGTGGAATTGGGAAAGGAATAATCCAAGTCCAAATTCTAAGAAAACTTGAAAAATACTTTCAAAGATAATATTATTTAAAACCAGCATTATTAATTCTATCAGCAGAGGAGTAGACAGGAGATATCACAGTAGGGAGCTGGCATAGAGAAAGGGACTTTTCCTGGAAAGGAAATTAGCAGCCAGTCATGACTCTGTGGGGCATTACTAAAGTATGAATGGGAATCCATGCTAGAATTGCAGAAAGACTGCAGAATGTCAGAGGTGATTGCATAGTAAGGAAGTTGCTATCCTTCCAAACTCATAATATGTATGTGCAGCCCTACTAGTGGATTCTGAAATGCTAATGAAGTTACAGGATTGAAGAGTGTGTGGTGAAAGCATATCAGTCTTCTCACTTGTGCTTAAAGTTACTGCAATTACTAAGTAATAAAACTGTCAAGATTTGGGGACAGTGAGCACTTCTAATTTTCCCAACATCTATATTAGTCATTGTGTATGCCAAACATTTCAAACTGCAGTCATATCAGAGAGGTAAGAGTTGGGAGGAATTGTGTAGTATTCCTTATGTAGAGTAGCCTCTCACCTGCAAGCCTGCATGAGTACAACACTGGATGTTGTGTTCACCTGTTTGTGTACAAACGTGGAGAAAAATTGAAACAGGTTTGTTTTCTGCTACCTTAACATACTATAACAATTCAACATGTTCAAGTTCAGAATGTTGGTGCTAGTCTACTAGAAAAGGTAGCAATACCTAGTTGAATGAAGATGGAGCAGATTAGCTTTTAGAAGAGCTTTATTACAGCTTAAAAAAATGATGCACAATTGTCAGATAAAATGCTGTTCTTTGTCCTTCCTAATTAATAGTTCTTGATTATAGCTAGATCCAATTAATTGTGTTGTGCTATAGAAGACTAAAACTTACAAGTAACGGTGTACTGACTTATCTTTCTATTAATGAAGGACCTTGGCTTTAACATAGTGTAAATATGTTATGGTTTAGTTTTATATGCAGTAATCGTTTTAGTACAGATGTGGACAAAGGTTAATTATGAGTTAACTACACATTACAGATTTTACCATCTCATCTAGTACACGTTTCCAAGAAAAGGTTGAAAGACAACCTTTTTTTGCTGTGCAGTATGTGGATTGACATTGCTACACTTTCATGCCACTAAATATTCATAACGGTGCAGTTTGTTTGCATATGTACATAAAAAGCAAGGAAAACGAAATAAAATCGGAGCAGTGACTGTGTATGCAAAAAATGAGGCTAAAGTATGTATCATGCAAAAATTCAGGGCTCTGTTGCCTGTATTAAATTGTATCTCAGTATGTAGAACAGGCATTGTTTTTGAATCGCTTCTGTATATCTTCTCACTCTTCATCTAGCATTTCCATAACTGTTTGGTGATCCATCCATACAGATCAGAGAGGTAGAAGCAGAACAGAAACACAGCAGATCTGTGAAATAGGAATTTAAGCTAGGTAACAATTTTTTTTTTTTTTTTTTTTTTTTTTTTTTTTTAATAGTACCAAATGGAGGAAAGGCAAGTAGGCTGTAAAAAAGATGCATAAAATTGGCATTGGCACTGTGCATGACAAATTAGACTATGTGAGATCTAGAGCCTTTACAATAGTGGGAAAGAAATAGTACATAATTCAGTACACATAAGGTCTGCTTTTCAGGGAAGTAACAGTAACCAGCACATAAAGAGTTACGGTCATAATTGCCCACAGTGTGCTAACAACCATTTGTCCATATTCTCTGAACCATTCTGAAAAGGAGCTGCATACCTTTGCTACAGTGATTTGTTTTACCTATGTAACACGAAGTATGGCACATCTACAAATCCATCCTTTTCACTTTTATACATGCAGTACATTAGAGACTTTCATTTATCTGTCCTTATAACAGAACCTGGTATTCTCATCATAAACAGAATCTCTTAAAACACAAGGATCTCCCTGTCGTCTGCTAATGTGATCATCAGTGACTGAGAATTACTTTTATAGCTTAAGGGATTCTTTGCAATAATAATTTTTGATACTGGTTTAGTCAGAGATGTTGCACTTTCATTACATGGGGCTGTTCCTTTCTAGTTAACCATCATAGCTGCAGTTCTGTCAAATGCTACAACTGAACCCTCCATGATTTTGATTTATCAGCAGTAAATACAAGGTATGTTTCCAGACAATTATTGTTACCTGCTGGTATTTCAGAAGAAAGAGCATCGATACTGCGTAATGGGTATGTATATTGGCTCTCCACCTTACTGCTCAAGGTCTGGTTTTGTTTGGTTTTTTTTGAAGCCTTTTTTTGTAAAGCCTCCACTTGTCATGAAGCTTATTGTGTCAAGCTTTTGAGTTTTGTTTAATCATCAAATTAGTTGAAAGCAGCAGCAGATAGCTTCAATTTAGTACAGCGGGAAATGAGAATTTATACCTGGAACCGATACTTCCATGTATAGATGAGTTTGCAATTTGACATACTAAGGACAAGGATGACAAAGAAGAGGAAATAAGATAGGGGAAGTTGAGAAAATGGGATATGAGGTAAAGAATAGGAACAGGGTATATGAGTTGTTACATGCTTGTCTTCTTTTTTATCCTATTAAATTAAAAATAGGGCCATATACAGAAAGTTGGAAAGATTATGCTATTTGTGCTCATTATGTTTCAGGAAATGCAAATGTACTGTGAACTTATATTCCCTTAAATGCAACATCACAGACTTCACAAGGTAATAGCTTAAATATTAGTTGTGCGGTGATCAGAAACTCTGATTTAGTTTGATTTAGTTCTTTGCATTTAAGATATTTTGAGAGTGCTTGACTGATCAAAGATTTTTCTCAAGTCCATGGAAGCTCTTAGCATTCAACGTGTCTTAACACTGGCCAATATATTCTCAGTTGCTAGCATTCATTGAGAGAATGTGTTGCATTGATACAACATTTTCAGTTTCCATCAAACACTGACAGAAATGACTGTTATACAGCTTGTAGAAGTGCAGCACTTCCCTACTGCTCTTCATTACTGTTGTATCAATTCTAGCTCTTCTGAACTGGTTCTAATTTTGTAACTTGAAGCCTTAATATTTTGGCTCTGTCAGGTTGTTTATGGAAAGATCAGTCAATGAGCTATCGTTATGTTTTCTTGCTGTCTCCAGGCATTCATCAGTTGTTAATTTCTTGTATTCCATTTTATGAAAACTGAATTTACTGAGTTAAAATTAGAATGGCAACCTGCAATTTGAATGTACTTTTGTCTTGTGCTCAGTCTTCTGACACTAAATGTTAATGTTGTGGTTTAATGCTGGTAGGCACCACACATACTCTCATCCCCCTTCCTCAGCATGACTGGGACAAGGGAAGAAAATAAGTAGGATGAAAACTTGAATTCTTCACATAAAAGTAGCTTAATACACATAGTATTTAAGAAGGTAAAAAAAAGATGGCCATGCATGGATTCAGAAGGGCAAAAGTGTTCTTGACTTCCCGTCACAAGCAAAGTTCAGTCATATTCTGGGAAGCAGAGTCTCACGGTGTATAGCAGTTGCTTCAGAAGACAAACGCCTTTGTAATGAATGTCTTCCTTTCTTCTTCTATGTGGCCTCCCCCCCCCCCGACTTCTACTTTTGGGCATGATGTCAGTACAGTATTGGGTTGTCCTTTTGGTCAGTCGAGTGGCTGCATCCCCTCCCAGCCTCTTGCCCACCCCCTGTCTACTTTGTGGGATATTGGACAAATAGTCGATGCTGTGCCAATGCTGCTCAACAAAACCAAAGCATTGGTGCAACATCAGCATTTTAGCTCCAAGTGCAAAGCACAGCACTGTATAAGCTGCGGTGTGGAAAGTGAACTCCATCCCAGCCAGACCCAGTACAGTAGCATTCTGTGATTTGTCATTAGTAGCTTACTGAAACTCCTTAGTTAAAAAAAAAAAAAAAAAAAAAACAAAACCCGTCTCTGTGGGATTCATTCAGACTTTACTCATAAAAGTAGTACTCATAAAAATAAATAATTGCGTTGTATAGTTGACTTTTCAATTAGCATTAGTAGTTATTCCAAATAATCAGTTTGTTCTTCACAAAATGATAGCTATTTAGCTGAAGTACATAGAAATCCAAACGATACTGTAAATCAATCTCTTATAACGTTGTTTGAAGTACTGATATGGTGTGGTACTGATATGAACTTTGTTCTGAGGGTCCTTCTCTCTACATTTGGGGAGAGAAAGAAATGAGAATTAATGATAAAACATGAGATTTTGAGCAGCTGAGGTCTAGGTTTTCTGTTTTATTATGAGAGCTTATGTTAAGGAACATTTTGTAAGGAAATGCATACATATAGTTTGATTTCTCATTTTAATCTAAAGTTTATTGATTTCAGGCTGACATCTAAACCATCCTCTGCTATTCACACAATGTCAGAAATGTTCCATTTGGCACTTAGAGTTAAAAAAAATTTTTTAGAACACTGGAGAAGTTAGTAAATGAGCATCTATTTTAGGTTCATTTCTTACATAAAAGGAATAATTGCTTGCAAATGGAAAAGTAGAAGGAATTTTCTGTGGAAGTGACTATAAAATGTTAGATTCACTATGAGAAGCTTAGGGGAAAAAAGTCTCAGCAATTGCAGAGCTCTTTATGGCAATCTTTGGACTCTAGAATAAGGCTGTCAAGGCTAATAAGTCCGTTAAAGTGCACGTCTCATCTTTTCTTAATGTTGAGATAGTATTTCAGTTTATAAACCAAAATAAATGTTAACGAGATGTTATGTAATAGAAATTTTTTTAGTGGCCTGGAAATCAAAGATTTGTGTGAGCAAAATTAATGCTACGTGATTAGGGCTGTATGTAAAGAAATAACATAAGAATGTAAAAGTAAGAGTAAAATAAATGAGAAAATAGGTGTTTAATTATTAAGCACTAGGAAAAGAATCAATTAAAGGGTTCAATAAGTCTTAAGAAAAGCCATGGTGCATTACTTTGGTCTGTGACTTGTTAAGAAATTAGACCAAATAACAGATTTTTGAACTTACATATTGTGGCCAGCTGCTTCATAAAGTTAGTTCACAGAATCACAGAATCACCCGGGTTGGAAGGGACCTCAAGGATCATGTAGTTCCAACCCCCCTGCCTAGCAGGGCCACCAAACACACACATTCAGATCAGGTTGCCCAGGACCCCGTCCAACCTGGCCTTGAACACGTCCAAGGACGGGGCATCCACAACCTCCCTGGGCAGCCCGTTCCAGGGCCTAACCACTCTCCTTGTAAAGAACTTCCCCCTAACATCCAACCTAAATCTTCCCTCCTTCAACTTGGATCCATAAGTTCTAGACAGGAAGAGTGGAACGAAAGCATAGGAAGGGTGGCATACAGAGTGTTAATATAGATGTGCTCAGGTGCTAAATCTTAATAAAATTAATCGTAGTATGATTGAGGAATTAAGCACTCCTGTTTTTATTTATTTAATGTCCCAGAGTGTGAAAATAGCCTGTAATGTGACCGAGATTGTCTTTGTTTCTCTATTCTTTTATTATGGGAGTTACTGAAGTTGTTAGTTTCAATTCCAAATTAAGATTCAGGAACAGATATATTAGCAACTAATTTGTATCTAAAAGTACTTAGAAGAGAAACTGCAAAACAACCAGTATGGTTTTGACATGACCTACTGGTGAAGAATCTTAGTCTTCATCACATAGGAAGGATGACAAATTTAGTAAGGGAAAAACTTGTAGGTACAATAGTGCTTGCTTTTATTTTTTATTTTTTTTTACTCACATAAGCAAACTGGGGAAGCATTAGGTGGTGATATTATCAGCATCAAGTTGGAAAATTGCCTTTACAGGGTAATTATCTATCCTGTCAAGATGAAAAGGCATTAATGAGATGGATGATTGAAGAGAACACATACTTACAAAAGTAACTTATGTTACAAAGTTGGAGAGGGATTGAAAGTTTTGCGGTTTTTTTTTGTGGTTTTTTTCTATGAACATAAGGTCTAAATCCAAAATACTCTTGGTGAATTAGAGAGAATCTCTGAAGTCAATGAGATGAAATGCAGTGCAGGCGAGTTTGAAGCACTGCATATAAAAGGAAAACTCATATACATGAATATAAATCAGGAAATAATTACTCAGTGAAATGACAGAAAAGGATCTCAAGATACTGCAGACCTGAATTTACATACGAGCTACGCTGCTGGGGGAAAAAAATATATATTGTGGAGGATAATACCACACGTAGGAAATAGAATATTGTCTAGTTTGGCAAGTCATGTCTGTAGTTGGTCTTCTCACCACTTTTTCCTCTTGAGAGAATGCAGGCAAACTGGAAGTTATTCTCCATCGTTGTTATGCTTTTCTTCTGTGAAATGAAAACCATCTTTATTTTTAATAAGAATAATTTATATTGAATTTGAGAAAAAAAAAATCACCCTAATAGTGATAATTTAAATTACTAGAACAAGCAAGAGAAGTTCTGAATTGTGCTTTCTCTGTAGTTAAACATCTGTCTAAGGTATTCATGACTCCCCATCTTTGCAGAGATAGAATTAGATAGTTCTTTCTGATCCCATTCATCTCTTCATGAGTACAGTAATCGGACTTCATGCTTTGGTTGGACATAAGAGAGTATGTAAAGTAATAACTCATTGAGGTGCTGTTTCTTTAATGCTAAATACTGTTTTAAGTTACAGCAGAAAGGAACAAAGTTGAGTTTTGACTTAATAAAATATGTTTTTATTTTGCCTCCATAAAAGTGCTTTCTTAAATCATACTTTAAAAAGTACTGTGACACCTATGCATATAATGTGTCTGTCCTTTAATTTTTATGCTAGAAAAGTGGGGAATGAGATTCCACTAGCAGTGAGACAGTATGTACCCTTTGATTACTCATCCATAGTGGAATAGCCCTATGGGGAAAAAAATGGCACTCTAGAGATTACTTGGATTTGTATGTTTCTGTAGGCAAAGTTTACAGACCTGTAAATTTAAATGTAGAATTTTTTGTAGGCATAATACATTGACAAATATGCCTGCTGGTAATACATCTCATACTGATAGTCTCAGAACAAGTCAATAATAATGCTTGTATTGATAGCAGCAATGCAGGGGATGTTACTTGATATTATAGCTAAAATCCATGTTATCTCTTTAATCATAATTACATTAATATTGGCAAGCTGTTGACAATACTCACATTACTATTGATAGATTTCTGTCAATAACATGTTACCAAATAAAATATATTCATTCGTAATTTGTACAATGCTCGATAACAGCATTAATATATACCAGGAAAAATTCTTGTTTCCTTGGTGATGTACAGTTTTTTGCAGATGTTGTACAGAGTGTTGTGCTGTACAAGTGGGATTGTTGACACACAAAAAATAGGTTATTTAAGAAAGAAAAGTTCATATTACTTTTTTTTTCAGAGGGGTCAGTGGGGGTTCAAACTTTTAGTTCTATTAAACAATACCTGTGGATGGTATAAAATCGAGAAAGTTTTAAGTAGTAATCTTTAGTGCTTTGTCTTAAGAATTAATTAACAAATTAATCAGTCACAGGGCTGGTTTGTTTGTTTGTTTGTCTTCGCCTAACTTTTGGTTGTTAAATTCTAATCATGTTAGTTATGTGTGATGGCATTATGAACTGAGCATTGATATTTGTCTCTAGTTATTGAATCTACAGTTCTGAATTTCTAAGTTGCAAATAATTTAAAAATAGAGTAAATAATA